CAGCCATGCGTCAAAAAAGCGCAAAAGAGTCGATGGCGAGAAAGTCAAATACCCAGATCTCACATACGTCGATGGAAAATTAGTGTCACCTATTCGAATCGCCGATCTGCAGGGGTTGCTTCTCTATTGCTTCGCCGATGGTATCGCACCCCAATGGATCTCCGTGAAGCATTCTGGCCATGTGCGCAAGGTAGTTGTACTGATGGTACCTGGCCTCGAGATGGGCATGTTTGATGGGACAATCCCTGTGCAACGTGCATCAGTCACCGGGGAGCTAGAAACACAGGAGCCCAAGATCAATGCGCCGGAAGCCACCGAGGAGGTACCTAAAGACGAACACGCTGCTGATTACGAGAGATGGAAGCAGGGCCTCCCATTGCCGGATCGCTCGCATCGCTTCAATCCTCGATCTATCACACGTGAAAACCTCCCTGAACCACTTCAGCCCCTGGCCGACATGTTTCCCCATATCTGGCCTGTCAAGGCGCCAGGCGACAACAAATACAACAAGGTCCATTCGCCACTACAGGCAATTCTTATGTCCTCGCCCCCCAAGACAAAAAATGATGACTCCCGTGCGAAGGGCGCACGGCCCGCAAAAGTTGAGAAAGGCTTCGTTCCGAAACGAACACCAATCACAGCTTTTGTCACTTCACGCGAGGATCTACTGGAAAACGACTTTATCTTGCACCCTGTTTTCTTCTCTTCCGATGAGGAAAAGTCTTCCCAGATGGAGGCTCGTCAGCGAGGCGGTCAGTTGGTGGAAGATGGATGGGTGGATACTCAAGTTCCAACCCTGGAGTCCGCTCTACCACCTGATATTGAAATTGAGAGTGGCAGTGTGACTGTTGGTCGAGACATTTTTGCGCTTGACTGTGAGATGTGTATTACAGAGGGAGGTCAGTCCGAACTCACACGCATCAGCATGGTCGGCTGGGACGGCGAGGTGGTCCTTGATGAACTAGTCAAACCAGCACGGCCGGTGATCAACTATCTCACACGTTACTCCGGAATTACCCCAGAGATGCTCGAGCCCGTCACCACCACCCTTCGTGATATTCAGCAAAGGCTCTTGACTCTTCTCACGCCGCGTGCGATACTCGTAGGACACTCCCTTAATTCCGACCTCACAGCACTCAAACTGGTCCACCCGTTCATTGTCGATACCAGCATCATTTACCCACACCCACGTGGTCCGCCACTCAAATGCAGCCTGAAATGGCTCACCCAGAAGTACCAAAACAAGCAGATACAAAACGGAATGGCCGGGCATGACTCCGTTGAGGACGCCCGTGCTGTTCTTGAGCTTGTGAAGTTGAAGTGCGAGAAAGGCGAGCGATGGGGTACCAGTGATGTTTCCAATGAGAGCATATTCCGTCGACTATCACGCTCTACTCGACCTAGTCATCTCCCTCGGCCTGGAGAGGAACGAACAGGAGCTGTGGTTGACTGGGGCAACCCCGAACGTGGCTTTGGGGCTCAGGCAACTGTCTCGATTGGATGCCTGGATGACGATGCAGTCGTTAGCGGTGTCTCCGCGGTAATCAATGGAGACGAGTCCCATCCCTCCATTCCAGGAGGTGGTGTTGACTTTGCCTGGGCTCGGATTCGTGATCTCGAATATCTTCGCGGTTGGTGCAGCCGCCTCCCTGATCCAAACAACGCCAACGAATCCACAACTCTTTTTCCTCCTCCCGAAGAAACAACGCCGACCACAACCTCTGGCAATGGGGACTCGACAGATCTTCCGCGGCCTGACGTCTTGGCTGACACTCTTTCCCGGACCGTCTCCAACATTTCGCGCATTTACGACTCTCTCCCAGCTTGTACGCTTTTCATAGTCTATTCCGGTACAGGTGATCCACGTGAAGTGGGCCGTTTGCAATCCATCCACAAGAAGCACCGTGAGGAATTCCGGTCTGGCAAGCCATGGGATGAGCTGACATACAAATGGACCGACGTTGAGGAGCAGGCTCTAAAGAAGGCTTGCGAGCGTGCTCGCGAAGGTTGCGGTTTCATGTGTGTGAAATGATTTAGCCGAAGCTACGTATGCCACACTCCAAATGTCCTACGCTACGATTATGATTCTCATTTCGCTTCCATCTCTGTTGTATGATCCTCTACAACTGCTGCTAAGAACTCGATGTGCATGTTTCCTTACAATAGAATAGCAAAACACCCAGTAGGATCCAGGTCAAACACAAAAAACGTTCCTTTGGCCACTGGAAAAAGGGATATGTAAAACTGCAGAAAGAGGACTTGATATATCCGAAATTTTTATGTGAAAGATTGTCCGCGTAACTTGAAGTGCAGCCTCAGAAGTCATAACACTTTCATTAACGTATTGTAAGCTACTAAGTTGCCCATCCAATCCGTGTTCTGTATATATCCCGTCTTGAATATCGGGATGTGGAAGTCCCCACACCCACAGGAATTTGTGGGGCGGAAGTGGGAGATTTCTCCCGACAGCAACGGACACGAACCTTTCGCCCTTAGCAATGAATCCCTTCAAACGGGCAACCGCAGCCTGGCATCCTGTTGGTCTTGCATCCGAGTTTCCGAGCATCGATGATGATGCCCGGATTGTGCCAAGATGCAAAGCTTTCAATATTCCCAAGACAAACGACGCCATAGAGCGAGTTGAAGACATTGACCTACCAGGAGAACTGAAGGACCAAGTCCTGGTGTTCAAATACAAGGGCAAATACCATGCCATTGATCATGTGAGTCAAACAGTTTTTCCAATTGGAAGCATTGAGCTCACCCATTCTAGCAATGCCCCCACTCGTCGTTCCCACTTTCACAAGGGCACCTCTTTGATATTGAAGACTTTGGCATCGTGCTCAGCGCAGGTCTCACATGTCCCAAGCATGGCTGGTCATTTGATTTATTCTCTGGGCGTGCTGATCGCGGCAACTACACACTCAAGGTGTGGGAGGTACAGCTGCGCGACTCATCGGCACTTGGAAGTACGGACCAAGAGGTTTGGGTGAGGCAGAAACAAAGAATTGGTTAACATTGGCCATTAACATTGGCCAATTTTCCTTAGTGACTTATCATAAAAAGTGCACCAAGGCTGAGTTGACCTTCCTGGAGTGATTGAATTTAAGCAGGCCATTTAAGCTACTCTTCGCAACTTGTTCATCTAACTATCCATATCAAAGTATTCATATGGGTAGCCTGTCGATCCCTGCTATAGATTTTGGCTCGAATGCGACCCATCAAATTTGTGGAGCTCGGGTGGTTTACGAAGTAGTAATTGCACGAGGGAAGAAGCTTGTCTCCATCCAGGGGTAAATTGGTCTCGAGTTTCTACCCAATCAATTAATCCTTGGGCAGTAGGCCAACTATCTGTATATTTTATGCAACATTCAGCCCCATCTGTCAAGCATTACTCATTTTCCTGGCAGCCAATTGCTGCCTATAAAAGCACCAAAATGTCACACCTAGCGCCTCCATTAGGATGAATCCCGCCACCATCTCGATGCTCAACGAGTCATACCCAGTCAATACCATGCCAATCAAAAGGTTCGCACACCCGCCGACCATCTCCATTCTACCCAGCCAAATATGAGCGTACGAGACCCATGTCCGGGCGCGGATTCGGACAAAGGTGACATGATGCCACCAGCCTAGCAGAATCTGTATGAGTAGAAACGTCACAATCGTCCCGCCGAGGAACTGGTGGGTGGTGAACATCGCCGATGCCTTCGCGGAATCGGAATCATGGCGCTTGTTGTGACTGTGACCGTGCTCGTGCGCTTGATTCAACGCGATGCCGGTTCCCGCCCCGACTATCATACAAGTAGTTGCCAGACCCTGCAAGATCCAGTGGTAGGTGAATGAGCGTGGCGAGCCACTTCGCAAGGCGAGGACGCCGACGGGAAGAAGAAAAAGGAAGCTACCCGCCATCATGATCCCGTGGGTCCTTTGTAAGGGCGCGGTGGCCTTGACCTTGCGCCAGGTGTTCGCTGCTGCAGCAGTGATTCCGGAAATGCCGATCGGGGTATCTGAGGCGCCCAAAGCCTCGATATTGGGCCGCAGTGGTGGAAATGAGGGATAGTAGTCCCCCGGCTGTGTCAGAGAGCGGGCCATGTCGACGTAGAACCGTCCCCAACCACCATTACCCGCGTGGTGTGCATGCATGTCTAATGGCGCGTCAAAGCTGTACATGGGGAATTGCTGCTGGTTGTTCCAAGCCCATATCCAGGGTTGTGAGGATGAGAGAGGCGATATGGGCGACGTAGGCCAGCGAGCACAGGAGTAGCAGACCAAGGAAAAGTGGGCAGACTTGGGCCTTTGAATTTCAGCAATGGTGTATTGTTCATGATGCACGGATGGCGAGGCGGACATCCAAGAGGCTTGGAGAAGGCGAAGATCGGCTCCGCCCATGTCGCCGTGGGTGATCAGGCGAGGCTGGTGATGGCCATCGACGGTTCGGATGCTTAGCACGGGATTCTCACTGGAGTTGGGATCCCCGTAGACGATAAACATCAGGGAGCCTGCCATTAGAGACCCGGTGCCGATGGCTGTCCATCCGAGATCTGAGTCGCGAGTTACTGAGAGACTGAGGTAGATGTCGTGGGTGGTGGTGGAGGTGTTGAAGTGTGTAGAAACACCCAGACAGAAATTCACCTTGTCTTCCTTAGCACCATGATGGCCAAATTGGCAGTATTGGACGGGTTCAGCTTGGCAGACTGTGTCTACTAACAGCAGAAATAGAGGGACGAAATAGACCATCAGCTTCATGACTAGACATTCCTTGCCAAGGAAAAAGAGGAAGACAGTGAAAATAACATATTCATGCTAGCCTTTATTATTTCCGAAGGAAAAAAGAGGTAATCTTGTCTTTTGATGCATTGATGCATGGGAATGACCGTGCATGAGTGACCTTACAGGCTTCGGTGCTTGGCGTAATTCGTATCTTTCAATAACAATTCAGACAACAGACGACAGACGTGAGATGTGAGATGTGAGGTGTATCAGCCATAATCTATACAATGGGGTGGACTCTGCTTTTACTATGGGTATTTCTGGGGGGTGCAATTGCCAACATCCCACACTATCAGCTGAAAAGTGCTACCAAGATTCCGCCCGAATGGACTAGGCATAGGCGAGCTCACCCGGACGAGATGGTTGATGTATCAATTGGGCTCGTCCAGAATCGATTGCCTGAGCTCGAAGAGAGGCTCCTACAAGGTCGACATCCTGTATCCTATGGAATAAGCATAACTCACATACCTCTTCAGTCTCTGACCCTTCTCATCCGGATTATGGAAGACATCTCTCAGCCCAAGAAGTCCAGCACCTCATACGGCCTGCGCCAGAGTCGATTCTCAAGATCCAAGCCTGGCTGGATGAACTAGAACCCCTTAGAGGGGCCAACATCACAATATCGCATGCGGGTGACTGGCTAGATCTTGCTATGCCTGTCTCGTGTCTTGAGCGGCTACTCAAAAACGAATACTGGGTCTTCGAGCAGCCGGTGTCTGGGATTCGAGCGATTCGCTCACACGAATGGTCTCTACCTGCTGACTTGATGGATGTGGTCGATGTGATTACACCGACCAACGTTTTTATTCACCCGACCGTCCAATTTCGATTGGGCGCACCTCCAGCCTGGGAAGAGGAAGGTCATCTGCCGACGTATCAAGACCTCATCGATGAAGATCTATTGGATCGCGGCAAACTGGAGATTCCGACCCAGGAGGAACTATCCGCGAATCCCACAGTGAAAGAGGCCTGCAATCGCCTGGCCATTTCGCCCCTCTGCCTTCGGGTCCTTTACGGGACATGGGGATACGAGCCTCAAGCTCCCGATCGCAACGCAGTTGGCATCGTCAATTTCCTCGGCGAGGTGGCCAACCGGTCAGACATCGCTCTCTATCTAGATCGATATCGTCCGGACGCGGCCGCAGCACATGCCGAAACTTCCTTCGCAGTGGAGATCGTCAACGGTGGGGATGACCAACAAACGCCCAATACCCAAGAGCAGATGAAAGCGAAGAAAGGTTACGAAGGTGCGTTAGATGCCCAAACTGTCCTAGGGATCAGCTGGCCCACATCCCTGATTACATATAATGTCGGGGGCGACCCCCCTTTCCACCCACTCAAAGTCCACGCCGAGAACACCAATGAACCCTACCTCACGTGGCTGCGGTACATGCGGACAGTGGAGCATCTGCCATCCGTCATCTCTATCTCCTACGCCGAGGATGAGAAGACCGTCCCGCCTGAGTACGCTCGGCGGGTGTGTGCGGAATTCGCCCAACTAGGCGCGCGAGGGGTGTCCATTCTGGTCGCCAGTGGCGATTATGGAGTTGGACGCAACAAGCAATGTCTCGACATCGACGAGAAGAACAGACGCTTTATGCCTAGCTTTCCTGCTAGCTGCCCTTATGTCACGGCTGTGGGAGCCACGCGGTTCCTCGAACCGGAAATGGTGGCTTTCGATGCTCGGAGCAGTTACGCGAGTGGCGGTGGTTTCAGCGACGTGTTTGCTCGGCCAAATTACCAGCAGGTCGCTGTGGACACATATCTGCAACAGTTAGATCGCCGGGGGCAACAAGCAGGTGAGGGGAATTTTGATTATACAGGCTTGTTCAATCGTCACGGGAGGGCATACCCCGATATCGCAGCCATGGGGTACCATTTCTCCGTCATGTGGAATGGCACTGCCCACCTCCAGGACGGGACAAGCGCGTCAACGCCCACCGTCGCGTCCATCATCGGTCTGGTCAACGATGCATTGGTTGATGCGCACCGATCACCGCTAGGATTCCTGAATCCTTGGCTCTACTCTTCGGGATATGAGGGATTCAGGGATGTTAGTCATGGATCAAATCTTGGGTGTAATACCTCGGGATTTCCGGCTACAAAAGGGTGGGATCCTGCTACGAGACTAGGAACACCGGTACATATATATTCCGTATCTCGAGTTCTGGTTTGTGACTGACATAGTCGATTTTCCCAGTGGTTCCCTAACCTCAAGGATCTGGCTCTGGGATCACAGTTTCGACCTATGCGCCCATGGTATTATCTACCCGACTTGTGATTTTATTCATGATGTAGTCACTGGAAAGGGAGTATCCGTGGACAAGTACGGGCTAGATCGGGTCACATGTGTTGATCTTAGATTATTGAGTATGGGAACAAATGAGGTTTTGATTTCATGACATGTATATTGCTCGACTATGTATCTTTCTAGGAGAAAGGGGGTTTTATCTGTTCATCGCGTATGCAGTCGCGTATGTTGATCCTCGGCCCAATATAGTCACATGATCATGTTCATTCAATCAACAACAACACGGTCTACCCACGGTGGATAGCGATTGATCCTGGAAACGTAGGGCAATTATGGAATTAATCTTTATTTCGTGAATAAAACACGCATGCATTGTTACTGTCATCGCGGCATGCATCGCACTACTGCATAGTCACCACCGCCGTTGCCATCATTGGTTGGCCAACGTCCCCGCTGCTACAAGACCTATTGTTTTTTTTTTGTTTCAATTGGAGCAAATATAATGGAAAACAGCGTTCCTCCACTTTCCACTATGAACTATAGTAGCTTGAGCATTCTAGTTCCCAACAATGACGAGCTCCTACGACGAAGAACAACAACCTGGGTCCGAAGATGTCATCAACCCCATGTTCTCTGAAGAAGCAGAAGAACCTGCACCATGGACCGACAAGTTTGCTCCTTTCCCCGAAATGCTGGATCACAGTAAGGAAACTAGAACAGCCCTCGTGACATTCCGTGCGGTCCTCATTGGAGCAATTTGTGGGATCCTAGTCAACGGATCAAATATTTATCTAGGACTGAAAACTGGATGGACCTCATCAGGAATCTCCTTGGGGTATGATATCCTCTTCTTATTAATACACTACTGCCTAGGTTACGATCTAACTAATCTAAGCATATTGCAGTCCGTTGTGGGTTTCACCGTCCTGAAAAGATGGCAAACCCACAATCACCCGTTCGGTCCGCACGAGAATAACATTGTCCAAACTATCGCAACTTCCTTGGCGGGTATGTCAAATGTGTTCATATCGGCTATCCCAGTGACGTATCAATTGGGCTTGCTGAGTACTCCGTCGAAGGATTTCGTGCGCAATGTGCTGTTAACCGCCGCCGGGGGATATTTTGGGTTGTTGTCGGTTGCCCCTTGTACGTGACATCCTTTTTATCTATGTGACATCATTTAATGTCTTGAATAGTGAGAAAATTCTTTATTGAAAAGAAATCGGCGCGAGATCTCAACCTAATCTTCCCATCCTCGACTGTGACGGCGCTGACAATCCGGAACATGCATTCCGCAACTGACCATGCAGCTACAGCCGTACAACAGATGAGAGTGACTCTGTGGGCATTTTGTGGTGCAGCGGGGTTGAGAGATCTGTTCGCCGTTAGCTGTAGGGTTGGTATGGGTAAGTTGTCTGGGGTTTGCTGTCGTATACTATATTTGTAGCTAACAAATAGGTATTCAGGAGTGGCACATCTTTAGCTGGCTACATGCAATGGGACTATTTGCAAACCTTGCAATTGCGGCGGAAAGCTGGGGCTGGTTCTGGAATGGACTCCTGCTATGATCGGATCTGGTATGTTGGTTGGGACTAATGTTGCTGTCTCGTTCTTCGCAGGCTCGGTTCTGGCATGGTGAGCCCGATCTTCGATATTAAATACTCCGTTGCCATTGTCTCATGTCTTTATAGGGCAATCACCGGGCCATATATTGTGTCGCAAGAGATGGCATTTGGCTCACCCGTCTCATCAGAACCGTACTGGTCCGGCTTGATGTCCTACACCTCTATGTCGTCTCAATATGCAAACTCGGAACACCCCAGCCCACGATATTGGCTGCTCTGGCCAGGAGTGACATGTATGCTGACAGTAGCATTGACCGGTATGGCCCACATTTCCCCGTGTCTACTGCTTCGGTTTCTGATCATACGATGGCTCTAGAATTGCTATGTCAGTGGTGTACTATGTTCCAAAGGAGTCATGTTTCTATGTTGCGGCTGCTGAAGCGTATCTGGAGCCGCAAATTTTACGTTCCTGTACCAAGTGAGGAGGGCAAGGACGACGAAAAAAACCCCGACCAAATTGCTAGCTGGATGTGGGCACCTGGGCTTCTGGTTGCAGTCGTGATCACCATCATGAGCATGCAACTCGCATTTGACATCTCGCCGATAAGAACCATTATCGTGCTGGGGTTAGCGTTTTTCCTCTCTCTTGTTGCCATACAGGCGACTGGTGCCACCGGTAAATCATCACCATATCTCTATGAAATCTAATTTGCGCACGCTAAGATACAATGTTTGGATTCAGATACCACACCTTTAACCGCAGTCGCAACTGTTTCGCAAATTGTCCTCAGTGCGACCCACGGTGCCGTCAGCGGTGATGTGTCTCTCTACCAACGACCGAATCTACTAGGTGGTGCATTAGCCAACATCGGTGCCAACCAAGCCTGTGGTATATCATCTATCTCCTTCTTTTTCTCACTCCCCGGGTAGAGGAGCTAATATCTCCGACAGACCTAATGGGTGACTTTCGCGTGGGCTATCTTCTGCAAACCCCACCACGGCTCCAATACATTGCTCAACTCATCGGAACACTATTCGCCACAATTGTCGCGCCGGTCATCTTCAAACTCTTCACTACCGCTTACCCATGTATCATTGCCGAGGGCGCAAATGGTAACAGTACCGATGCTGCCGCCGCTCAAGGCCGCCGCTGTGAATTCAGCGGACCCTCCATCGCGACATGGCGCGTGGTGGCTGTCGCAACAACCTCTGGGGCCTCTGGGCAGTCGGCCATTCCAGAAGCGAGCGGGCGATTCGCTGTGCTGTTCGCAGCCGTCGGCGTGATGATTGTGTTACTGCGGAATATGCTAAGGACTTTCCCAGCTAAGGTATATTTGCCTAACATGATGATCATGGGGTTGGCTTTTACGATGCCTTCGCCGCCGTATGGAATTGCGATGTTGATGGGGGCACTGGGGGCACGCATGTGGAAGTGGAGGGAGGAGAGGACGTTTGAGACGTATTCATCATCAGTGGCAGCGGGGTTAGTGGCTGGGGAGGGGATTGGGGGTATAGTGAATGGAGTTCTGACGATTGCGGTGGGCTGGGGAGGAGATGGCTGGGGTACTGGTTTGGGATGTCCCAGTGGACGGTGTTAGCGAATTAGTTATGGTTACGCATATCTAGAACTTTCATAAAGTAGTTTTGTCACTGGTTTTAGTCAATGGGTTTCTGCACACGGCTTTGATTTCAAATAATATTTACTAGATGATAAGTTGACAACGCAGAGAAATAGTTATACCAGGTAGCCAAACTACCAAGACCATATAGACCATCTCAATAAATACTCTCATGAGGAGCTTCTGTATTGTAGTTATAAGCCAGGGACTACCGTGGACGGTTTGTTGATTGAAATAAATGAAACCACTACTCCTAGACGGCTGTATGTATTGACATTTATATCTCCTAAGGCCCTTAACGAGACTAAACCATCCAGCCAACCAGACCGCAACTCTAGCAAAAGTAAGCCATAGAAGATTGGAACACTTTGGCAGACAAAGAAGTAAGTACTTTCTTTCGCCTGTAACTATTGTCAATCTGAATCATTCTTCTAAAATGTCAAGCCAGCCATGCTTCCTCATACCCCTGCGTACATTTGACTTTCCAGGGTTGACTTTTGAGTCTGGCTGATTTGTGTGTTAGGATTCTATATTCTAAGGTAGTATGTGGGATTGAAGACTGACCATTTATTTGTCCGCGGTGTAAGCGGTGGCAGCATCGGCATCCCAGCGGCGATAGACGGGCTCGGCCACCTCAGAGCGCTTGTCGGCGGTGTATGCAGTCGCCCCGTCGGCATCAGAGCGCTTCTTGTCGGCAGTGTATGCAGTCGCCGCGTCGGCATCAGAGCGCTTCTTGTCGGCAGTGTATGCAGTGGCAGCGTCGGCATCCCAGCGCTTGTCGGCAGTGTAAGCGGTGGCGGCGTCGGCGTCGCTCCTAGCCTTCAAGCCAACGGGGGATGCATTGACGAGGGTTGCGGCAAGGACCAACGCCTGGGTGAGCGCAATAAGCTTCATTCTGAATGATAAGCCTCAAAGATAGAAGAAGTAGATGAGTTGAGTGGGGATATGTTGACAGATGATGGAATACTGTTATTTGCCCGATGAAGCTCCCTCTTAGCTGCGAGCGAGGAGATACTTATATACAAACTAGAGCACAAGTATGGATGCTGAATAAAGGCTCCAGAGACTCATTCGAATATTCAGTTCATCCTGTCACAGCCAGTATCGTATTACGGCATGGCAGGGGATTCTGCACGGTCATCGGATGTCTTGGATGTACACGACATCCTTGTTGCTCCCTTTGGCACAGGATCATCGACTGACCATGCAGGATGATGGCTTCAGCGCATGAAGAGCCCACCTCAACCCCTCCTTCCCCTCACCTATGATGAGAAACGTCCCTTTTTCATTTTTATCCACTTTGAGACATAATTTCACATTGTGCACTTCTCGAAGATCATCTCGCCTCCATATACCTGCAACCAGTCTCAATTCCACCTTCGGCCCCCCTGAATACCTAGACAATATGGACGCAGAGGACCTGGAGAAAGAACACCGAAATAGTATGTCGCCCACGCAGCCATTTCTCGACATTGGTTACAATGACCGAGAGCCTGGCCACCACGAAGAGGAATCCCAACAACACCCACCATATCGGCCCGGCTCCTGGGCACGGAGAGGCCTGGTGATGCATGGATTGATGATCCTCTTCTATATTGGCCTTGCGGTTTCGTCCTGGACAAATCTTCCATTGGGGGAATGCCTTGGTCGGAGTCAATCTAAATTGTTTAGTAAGTGTCTAGTCCATGGTGAAGGGTTGTCAGAGAACCGGAAGTGTCTAATAGCAACCAATTTCAGCACCTGTCCATGAGCACATCAATACCGAAGTCACGGTAATTTACGACAAGCCCAGCGATATCAAGGCTAGTCCGTATGTGGGAGAGCCTAGTCCAGCGGTTGATGAGGCCTGGTATCGACTCTTGCGTCGTAAGTCATCCTGGTACACTTTATATTGAGATTGTCCAACGTATTTTCTTCTAGATCACAACATCCGCATTATGGAAGACGAGCTGCAAGCAATGAACCAAACCTCTATTCCCCTCCGTCATGGGGGTGGATATCAAGGAATGATGGCCGTCTTCCACGAACTACATTGCTTGGTATGTTCTTTCTTCCCATCGTACATTCACAATTGACTGAGCAAGTCGGATACAGAAACTCGTTCGTGAAGCCGTCCATGCCGACTACTATTACGCAGAAAAATCCCCTGCCGAGAGAGCCATGTTGATTGGCCATACAGGTCAGTTTTATTGTAGCTTCTTCCGTTACCTGCATTCACCTCCCTGAAAAATGATCGTTAAAACTGGGATCAGAGCATTGCATCGACATTCTTCGCTCGGCATCCATGTGCCGCACTGATACCGCCATCTTTCCATACCACTGGAACGACGCCACGCGTCTTCCCAATCCCACATGGGTGCAGAAGCATGAATGTGTGAACTGGGCCTCCCTGGAGGAATGGTTGGATAGTCGACGGATTGATATATTCGCCCCTAACATGCTGGTGCATCCGAAGTATGGTGAGTTTTGAGTTTGCATTATTAAATTAGGCAATTCGTTGGCTAACAGCATAAAACCGCACATAGGCCCCGCATATCCAGGAGGGAAGCGGATTTCCGAGCCAGATGGACCGAAAGTCTATCCTTTGGATGAATGATGGAGAATCGGTTAAATTTCTAGTCAAATAAAATCAGATTCATTCATATAGCCTGTAAGGTGATTGAAACTAATGATATTCAGTTCAAGGTTTACGAAATTCCAGCTCTAGGTGTGAAAAGTGTTAAGCAAGTGTAATATTCCTTACAACCCTAAATTAAATGAGCCATTGTGGATGATTTCGAAGCCTCAACCTTTCTTTTCTCATTAGAAAGTGGTATTGTTAGTAAGATAGAGATGATGTTCTGGCTGTTCAGTGAAAGTACATCATACCGTGTACTGTAAACTGAAGCCATTCCTACCCCATAGATCATCAGTTTCTTCGAATCCTGCGCGTTAAGAACCGACTCCGACCGCAAAACGGGTGCATACGGAAATTAGCATAGTGGGAATAGCTTCATTTTTTGAACTTGGATACAATGCTTACTAAGCCCACTGTTATGGTAATTCAGCTCGCACATCACGTCCTGATCGTCTTCAGTAGTAGTTTTTTCGGTGGTTCAAAGCACTTCCGAATTCATCGCAGTAAACACCCACCGGGTTTTAGAGCTTTATATGTTTGCGCGGTTATTCAGGCCACATGTGTGCTTCGACTATTGTTTCAATTACTTCGCATTCCTGGAATCAGAAATATCAATTAGGAAATAACAGAGTATATTTCCATACATGTACTTGATGTATTCCACATTACTTTGAGTTAGTCATATTTCCATCAAATTCCATGATTACTTCCCAGGATGGTGGCCTGCTAGATGCCCATGCGGATCAACCGCCCCGATCTTGTCGCCCTCACCATTTGGATACGCAACTCCTATATCGCAAGTCAGACTCTTGCTTCATTCTTTTCTTGGTTCGTCTAGTAAAGAGATAGGGACAAAGCTCACCGAAAAGCGGATGCACCAACCAATTTGGCTTCATCATATCTACCGTGCGAGCACGAGTCCAGTCATCTAACATCTGCCAATTGATGCACTGGTGCACTGTGGCGTTTGCCACAGGTATCTGACTATTATCGTGCCATTCGAAGGTGATGAGACCGATGTCTCCGTGGCACATGGAGGATTGGCGGAGGAAGTCAATGCAGTGTTCTGTTTCAGATTTAGTGGTTGTTCGATGCAAGTGTGATAAATTGGGGAGAAAAGAGGCAGGGAGAGAGAAGTGAGCTGCTCTTACCATTGTGTAATCGATTCATCTCATGTTGCTCCGGGGTCAGATCAGGAAAGTAGTAGTCTGGATACATATACTGGTGCAACCGCTTGAGGCAGTGTAGCTCATGGTAGACATTCAGAGTGCCTAGGTAGCCGTCTCCTTCGGGGACAGCCACGCCAATGTCTTCGCGGCCATAGTGGGTCATGATCTCGGGCTCGATGATGATGTTCTCAGCTATTGTTCTACATTAGCATGTCTGCAAATATCGTGGTAGAGAGCACAGACTTACCGTTCAGGAGATCATGCCATGCCTTGTCGACTTCTGCGCTGGGCTTTCCGGAGAAGGATCCCTTCTCCTGGATGCGGTCCTCCAGCGTGAATTTATGTGCCTCGTAACGTATTGCAGGAATGGCTGGGGCTTTTTGAACATGTCAGCTATACAGACCATCTGTAGAGATATCATCCCCTCTGAAAAAGGCGAGAGGAAAGGACAAGGTCAACATACAAATGGGCAACCCTTGCTCTCTTGCGCTCTTGCTTTTTTGGCTCACTACCACGAAGAAAACAATGGCATACACAGTGAACAGCATCATATGGCCGACCATCAGCACAGTGGTCTTCTTCCACCATGGCTCCCGGTACCGATATTCTCTGGGGATCCCATTTTTCTCGAGGAGACCTTCGCCATTGTTGTGGCCATCGTCAATGGAGTCTCCCACTGATGAGTTACCGTGTAGTGTATATAGGCTGGCGTACTTGGTCGACTTCCGATAGAACCGGGAACGCCAGTCTATTGGACTCAGCTTAGAAAGAGAAGCCATGACAAATGACCACAGCAAGCAGGTGAGTGATAAAGTGGACCAAAAAAAAGTTACTTTCTCAGCACGACCTGTTTCTTAATAGAAAAGCAGAATCCTAGCGCCACGGTGTGGAAAAAAATGAATGCACGAAAAGATAAAACTCATAGAGCGAGAAAGGAGAAAGAAAGCAATTGCTGAGAAAGGGAATTAAAATCAAGGAAACCAAGTATTCAGCTATTTCCACTTCGTCCCAGCTTCATCCTAATACGGTCTCTATGTAAAAGTCCAGTCCGAAACGATTCTTAGTCTGCATGAGTGTTCACCCTCGACTCTCCCATACTACACGACTCTCAATCAAAAAGTCCTGTTTACCCCACATCTAGAAAACCCATGCCCACTTGAGTCCGAGTGACAATGCATGAAGCTGGAGCAAATGGCCAACTGAAGGAGAGAATACATTGCATAGGGAGGTAAACACGTAGCTCCTTCTGTGCATAAAGAAAGCGGACACATGCAATGATGCATGTGGTCATCATCCCTGTTGAGCACAACATAGGCGAAGGAATTTCTCGTACATTTATCCCGAGTCCCGACAGAAGATACGAAGGATGGGCATGTGCTCTAAGATCCTTCGAATCATTCTGAATCGCTGATTCGCCTAGAATATTCGTGACGCCATTCCAAGGTTTAAGCTTCAGCCCGCACTCCGCACGTAGGAATTCACCAGATTGGCTGTCTTCGTCTATGGCGTTGTTGATATTATTGGGTCAAGATAGCAGGCTTCCCCATAACAGTCCTCGGAGATCTCTGCTGATCAGATAATCACGCGGGGGAGATGAGAATTTTGGTGAAGTTTACTAGGCGCGAAGAGATTTCTTCCACATGCCGCACGTGAGGTAGTACATTTGTAATTATGGCCAGGGAAATGAGGCTTTCGACGAAACCTTTGGTAAGATATATTTGTCACTGATTTCCACAGCGCGTTGCATAAGTCCGATTATAATTTATAGAGGCACCTGCAAGAGATACACAAATACACAGATCGCTAGAGAAGACTCTTCTACCCCTACGTTGGTCCTTTGGGCTACTTGCGATAGTAAAGACCAGAGCGATGGGATCTAGATGGTAATTTTTCGTTAATTAATCGCACATAGTAGAATCGGATAGATAAAGAATTGGGAAATAAACATACCTGTTCTTTCAAAAGCTGTCTATCCCGCTTTAACATTTGCTCCGCGCCATCATCCGTAAACAGCTGCTTGATCATATTCACAATAAACGCTTGGGTGCGGCGGACCGGCTTCGGGCTCTGCGGCTGTTGTCTGTCGCCTCGCTGGTCTGGGGATTCGAGACAGCGCTGCGGCTGCTTTGCGCAGATTCCGCCGAGTTCCTTGACGCAGACGGTTTCCAACAACTGTAACTGACCCTCATAATATCCATGCGCCTCTTTCCCTACCCAGTCCTTTGAACTAGTGTATAGATCGGTCAACAGACCGCGGAGCCTTTGACTGCGACTGGCAGATTGGGCGTAACGTGGAAAAGACCCTTCTGAGAAGGAAGCTGTGTAGTAAGTGGTGGCAAGATGGTCAAAGCTCTCGAAGCCCATTTCGCTGGTGAGCATGAGGAGTTTGGCAAGGGACCTTTCGACAGTGGAGTTTGAGGCCTGATTGGGTGGGGATGACCGGGAAACAGTTGAAGCAATGGAAGAGCTAGAGAGCGTGGCGGAATATCGCCTGGAAGATGCGGTGACGTGGGTTGGGTCTAGATTATGACTGAGTGACGGTGTGGGATGGTCCGGCGGGGAAAAGAAATCTAATAAGTTGGATTCGGCATCAAGCATTTCTTCCACATTGAACGAGAAGCAATCTGCATAGTTTCCGGGAGGCACTGCTGCCAGTCCAATCCACGGCGAGGTGGTGATCACACTATCCCTGAGAGATTCAGTTTCATCGTGACCAGATGTTTTGATTATAACTTACCTGGCTGGACTCCAAGTCGGCATTTCTAACTCCGGGGTCTGAGAACATTCCATTTCGTTCGTCATAGTTGGTGTTGTGTTTCTCTGTGCGGGATTATTTTTCATCTTCTGTTTCTCTTCAGTGTGAGAGAGCGGGCTTGGTTAGTGGCATGGTCGTCGACTCGGGGCACAGTACATACCTCGACGTTTTCTCTGGGCCAATCGGTTCCTTGTTCGTTTAGCATCTGATACAATGGGGAGGCCGACCGGGAGTTGGTTCAAGTCTGGCAAGGAAGTCATCATGTAGAACTTTTGTTATGAGCAGAAACAACTATTTGGGGGTATTGGCTTCGTTACTACTTCTTATACGGTATTCCCGGGTCTCTAGGCATAGCTAAATGTCACGCTAATAATCTGATAACTCAAGCTAAATGGCGACATGCAGGTTCCGTTACACTCGGAGTGGGGAATCCTCATCTTGGTGTGGTCTAGAGCCCACAACCCTTGTACTTTTTTGATACCCCTGCCAATGCTACTTTCATAATTGGTTAATCATATATTCAAATACTTGCAACAAATTGGTTCGTAAAGTACGTAATTCTGTAACAAATAAATGTTCGGATACGTTGATGTTGTATTAATGGGGTTATAGCGAGTGGAGTATAGATTAATATTCTTTGTCTCATTTGAAATTCGCTAGAGCTAGGTCAGGTTGCCTCCAGGTATTTATTCTTCACTCTTCGTCCATTTATTTCTAATTCTCTTCCCAAGAAAAATGTCCTCCCAAGAAAAGGGCATAGCTGAAAGCTCAGCACCTGTGTTGGCCATTACCGACCAGGAGCGCGAGCGATTGAATGTCTTGCTCGAAGAACATGGAGTAAGTCGGATTTTCAAATCTCATTCATGAACCACTGGTCAATCCTGATTTCCGAAATTCAAAGGCAACCTGGGACTCTCCCCAAGACCCTCACGATCCCTATAACTGGTCTTCAATGCGAAAGATTTCGGTCGCTCTTATAGTCTCGCTGGGTCAACTTGTCACCCTCATGTCCACCAGCATGATGGCGGCCGCCTTGACTCAAATCGGAGCCGACCTCCATTTAGGCAGTACCGCGACTCAGATTACATTTTCGATTTTCATCCTAGGGCTCGCCTTTGCCCCTTTCTTAATTGCAGCGCTCTCTGAGATGTACGGGCGGAGACCCATATGGATTGCCAGCAATATTTTCTATATCTTATGGAATGCACTTTGTCCGGTCAATTCCTCGGTCGGCCTCATGACCGTCGGACGTTTCCTGGCCGGATCAGGCGCCAGTGCAGGTATTACGGTCAGTGCTTGGTCAATCATGTGACATGTCGACCATCAAATGTGAACTGTGAACGACTGACGACTCTTAGCTCACGGGCCCTATTCTCGTGGACATGTATCGACCGGAACATCGTGGGCGCTCTCTCGCGATGGCCACCTTCATCCCATATATGGGCCCGGCTCTTGGACCTATCATTGGTGGTGTTATCTCCCAGCATCTGCAGTGGGGCTGGCTGTTCTGGATTCTGTCCATGTTCGATGCAGCTATTGTGCTGGTCGGCATTTGCTTTTTGCCCGAATGCTACACCCCGGCCTTGCTCCGGAAGAAGGCTGCCCATGAACGCCGCAACGCCAGCAATGCTGCTCCTCCGAGCAAACGAAAATTTATGTTGGACAAGGCCTTTTATCAGGATCTCGGCGCCAGGCTGGGGGCCAATCTTATTCGGCCGCTCTGGCTCCTTGTCTACCGCCCGGCCATCCAGGTCATCGCCCTGATCATGGCCCTGAACTTCGCCATCTACTGCCTCCTACTTTCCACCTATGCTACCCTTTGGATCGAGCGCTACGGCGAGTCCGAGACCATCAGCAGTCTCAATTACATTTCCATTGCCATTGGCACCATCGCCGCTTCGCAGGGGGAGGCATATTCATGGACTGGATTTATCGTGCCCTGAAAGAGCGACATAACGGCGAAACCACGCCCGAGTTTCGCGTCCCGTTCCTAATCCCAGGCGTGATCCTTATTCCTGTGGGAATCTTCCTCTACGGCTGGTCAGCGGAGAAACGACTCACCTGGGTCGTCGTTGATGTCGGTACTGCTATCTTCGTTTTGGGAAGCTTCATGCTGGCCCAGGGTATGCTAGCCTATCTGCTGGACGAGTTCAAGCACGCAGCATCGGCTAATGCGGCCGCGCGCATGTTGTCCAATATCTTGGGCTTTGTCTTTCCTATTTTCGCGCCGAGTATGTATGCATCCCTGGGGTACGGGTGGGGTAATAGCGTGCTGGGATTTATCTTTGTGGTGGTGGGCCTACCTATTCCCATTATGTTGTGGGTCTATGGACCACGCCTGAGAGCCATTGGACGGACATAGTGCTTGTTGCTTTTTATTGGAGTGGAGAAGAGGGCTGTCACCTAGAAGATAATATTTGTGGGAATGGATTATTAATGGTGTGCTTGAATCCTTGATTTTCCCTATTATCTCAGATGTACTAAGCTATAACAAGCAATACCAAGCCCCGCCCTGGACCGTAGCGGGCTTGAACGGTATTGGCTCTTACCGTACGTACCGAAGACGGGACGGGACTAATGCGGACTCCGTTATCTGATCCGGCCCCCATCATCCCCATCATCCCACACGGGTACACTGTGCTCCGAGTACTCCGATTGGTTGGGGAACCCACTTCCCAACTACCAGTTATAATGCAGGACGTGTACTCCGCAGGCAGAATGACTATACAGCTAAGCCGACACTGGAAAATTAGCGCATGACCACACATGTAATGTACATGGTGGCGCGTGGGATGTAACCTTGGAAATACCGATGAAAACGAATCAGCCATGGCGCATGGAGGATTGATTGCCTTCCACTCCTCTCGAGAGTCATTGCTTACTTGCAGGTTCAAGTCCTTCGAGACTATGTTCTGGCTTTCTTGGCTCGTTGGGAAGATTCAGATCTGTATCGAGGCTTCCGAAGTTGGAAATGGGCTCTTTCTCTCACATCCCCTTTGTGTAAACTTTCCCAATGCGGTGGCTTTGAGCGGGATAGTTGGTTTGGGTTTCGAGTCAGAAAATTGCCTGAAGTTATCGAAGTCAGTCTTCTTTATCGGTAAATGTCTGGAAGAACATTGTGTATGGAAGCATGGAGTGTTGGAGTTTTGAGGGACGGAGGGCAGCAATCTGAACTTTTTGCCTGCGCCGAATCCTGAAATTTGTAATTCCTGTAACAAAGAAGATGAATACGATATATCTCGAGCTAAGCTGTGACGATTTTGCTGTATATAACATTTCTTTTTTGTATCTCGAAACCAGCTATCTATGGGAGTGCTGGTGTGTCTGTCTATCCCGTGTCTATAGCCACTCATTGGAGTATAGGGGGATTTAAGAAATCAGTGACTGAGATATATATACTTTTAGGGTTCAGCGATGTATTTTTCGATACCATAACAATGCATGTTCTCGATTTATTCAAAACTGAGATATAACACTAAAAATGCTTATCAATTGCTATCAGCGAGGAATGAAATTAAACATGAGCGTTTGTTGTTGAAATATCATGTTGTAATTCATCCCTTTTACTATGTGTTTTGGAGATGGCGGGTCGCTTGTGGTGGCGGCTCGCATGTGAATTACGTTAGATAAAGAATGCCCTAACTGGAAACTCCACGGTGGACAGAGACACTCTATGGGACCGCAGGCGTTCACACACCGGCTTCACCGTCAACTTTCCCGAAACCGAAACCATGGGTTTGAACAACTTCACGTCTGTGGTCGGACAGGTTACCTCGTCAAAGCTACCCTTCTATCACACGGGTACACTGTGGCTATTAAAGCTACCACAATGGAGAAGCAGCATCGCCTTCAAGCGGAGGCGGACAATTATCGTCACCTCAGGAGCTTGCAAGGACATCAGATCCCCGCCTGTCTTGGATCCTTTCAGCCACGGGTCGCGTATTGGTACTATGGTGAATTAATGGCCGAGATGATGGTCTTGAGCTGGTCAGGAAAGCGGCTTCAGCATATAATTAATGACGAGAATTCCAGTTTCTTCAACCAGGAGCGCAAGAAAGCTCTGACTGTGCTTCGGTCGCACGGAGTCGTCCACAACGATAGTGAGTGGCGCAATATGTTGTGGGATGATATCAGTCGCCAGTTAATTGTCATTGACTTGGAGGATGTGAAATTGTTGAAGCGCCGTCAGGTTCTTGCATCAACTTCTGGCAATGCCTGGCGTGGTTATCGCGTCGGCGCGGGGAAAGTAAGCAAAAGTCCTTGTCTAGCTCGGCAGTTGCCTGCATATGACGACCGACAGACCACAGACCACCGCGTTAGTCGACTCAGTTGACGACCGTACCGTCAGATCATGGGACGCGAGAAATTACGTTTACATTATGGGCTTGCTATCGCATAGTGCAAGATAATTATACGTTCCTGCAACTAGCACTGCCTACGCTGAACCACTAGAATGTCATCTCAAGAAGGTTGGGTGCTCGTCATGACAACAAATCATGTCGAACACCTGGACGAAGAAATTATTTGGTGTTCAATATGATAAGCACCCGACCTTCTTGAGCTGTGTCGGGGTCCACCTTTCGTTGACTTTGCCAATCTTTTATGTATATCATCTCTAAAGGCACGAGACTCGTGCGAGTGGTGCTGGAGTGCAAAGAAATTGTCATTACCTACGGGCAAGCCAATCGCCTTCATTTCCATTGCTCAAAATATGACAGGCAGCTGGCTGGAGCATTAGTTTATATTTGTATAAATATCAGAAGTCGGACTTCCATATTTCTAGACAAGACCTTAGACGAAGGCCATCTTTTCTTACGCCTTATAGAGAGGTGGCGTTTGGCTCGCTTTCTTGATCCAAAAAATCTTCAGCGAGGTCTATATTAGACCACATAATATCTGATCCCAGGTTCCATGCTCCCAGATAAATTATTTTGCTCCCAGAAGTAGTAACAACGGCTCTCACCACTTCTCGTATACGATTGAATCAAACATTCACGGAGGTTTCAGCCCAGCCCGGCCAATAGTCCCACTTGACTACTTGCCCACACAGACATAAAAGTCATACTTCAAGTTCCGACAGTCACTGCCAACATCCGGGTTCCAAGCCAGGAAATCACTCAGGGGGACACCGCTGTCATCGGAAATCTGTGCACAATACTCACCTTGTAGCACCTTGTGGAACTTCTCACATCCAGTCACCATGCCAGTCTGTGTCGGGGTTGGAGTCCCGTATGCAGCGGTGGTGGTTTTCGTGGTGGATGTCTTGGTTGTCGGCGGCGAAGTCGATTTCTTGCCTACGCAGACGTAGTAGTCATATTTCAAATTCCTGCAATCATTGCCAACATCCGGATTCCATGCCAGGAAATCACTCAAGGAGACACTGTTGTCATCGGCAATCTGCTGGCAGCCCTCATCCTGGACGACTTTATGGAAACTGGCACATCCCGCAGGCATGCCTTTTTGAGTTGGTGTTGGGGTGATGATTCCGGTGGCGGTTGGCGTGGCGGTTGAAGTAGATTTCTTACCCACGCAGACGAAGTAATCATACTTCAAGTTTCTGCAGTCACTGCCGACATCCGGGTTCCAGGCCAGGAGATCACCCAGGGAGATACTGTTGTCGTCGGCAATTTGCTGGCAGCCCTCATCCCGCGCGACTTTGTGGAACTTGTTGCATCCATCAGCCATACCAGTCTGGGTTGGGGTGGGAGTGACAACGCTAGTACTGGTTGGTGTCACTGGTGTCGAGGACTCCGGTATCGAGTTAGAACTTTGGGGTGTACAGCTTTGGGGAATTGAGGAGACCGGGGAGTTCGGGACTGGATCTGTTGGGCCAATATCACAATAGGCCTCGTAGAGGGAAAGGCAGTCCGATGACAGATCTTCATCGGGGTAAAATCCTTCCCCATTAGCCTGATCATCGGTCAGCCAGCAGTACTGAGTTCGCTCGGCCATCAAGCTACTCCAAGTCGCATTTGGCTGACCGACCAACGGCGGTTGAGTATAATTTGGATCATAAGTAGGATAATACCACGAGGTGGTGATGTTGGCGGTCATGGTTGTTGTTTCTCCGGGAAGCCAAGACGAGAACATGGAGGACGTTAATCCTTTGGATGTAGTGGAGTTCTCGGTAGGAACAGTAAATTCACCTCCCCCAGGTGGTCTGTAAATGGGAGTATTAGTTCCAAAGGTCTGAGATTTCGATTTTGTGTATGGCTTACGAGACGCAAATGCTTCTTCCTACCATTGAATCCAGGTTGTCGCAATTCTGATGGATGGTCCTGCGCTGATAGTCAGAGATGGCTTCTAGAAGATACACACGAGGTTCCGCTTACGGGTTCCAACCGATGAGTTGTACCAATCCAAAAGAATGTCCACGGACAATATCTCCACAGGTCTGGTTTGCCTGCACGGTGTACACTGTACAGGTCTTCTCGATACAGATCTCGGTACCGGAAGTCAGTGAAGAGCAACTGTAGTCCATATGGTTGATCTCAACTAAGCGATCAGTGCTAATAGATTGTGCCTCAGAGATTGATTTGCAAGTATCACCCTCCTTGGAAACGTAAGTTTTTCCGGTGCAAGTAGGAGTTGGAGTCACAGAGGATGATACACTAACGGATCCCGATGTTGTTGTAGGATTTGATGAAGTGTACTCGTAGGTATAGCTCGATGCTGGCACATGACAAGATGACAAAAGTGACGAGAAGGCCTCCGGTGGGAACTGCTTACGCCCATAATCCGAACTCGCCATAACTGCACCGTACTTGAGGGTACAGTCCGAACAGGCTGTTTTCGTGTCATCATAGATTCCTGTTAGGCAGTAACCAGTTCTGTGGCATAGTCAGCTCACTGGTGTTTTCAGGTTCCAAATCGTTGCATAATTGGGAAAAAACTTACGAATCTTGGATGCAGTTTAACTCATATGCCCACGCCAACCCATTGACAATATCCCCAGGGACTACTCTAGCCGTGCTGTTTTTGAACAAAATGTATGCTTTAGTTCCGCAAGACAAGTGACTACTTCTCTGGAAGTTTTCGATAGAATCATGGCATTCTTGTGTGCAATACTGATTTACCAGATCCCCCACTAAAGCAGCTCCATTTGCAGCATCTCGGGCAGTCACAAGATAATTAGCGCATTTGACATCGAATGTCAAAGCATTCTGGCAGACAGCCGGTACATCATCGGAGAAGCTGTCGGTATTATTCCATAGTTGAATTGCCGCGGCTTCCCGGACGAGAAGGAACAGACCAAGAATCACAACGTTGACTAAGGGTCGCAGCATGTCGATTGACTAAGAACTGGGATATCTCCAAGGCTAGAAGGGCAAGGGTGTAGTTGAATATTTCACCAGGCCATTCCCGATATCTAATGTTCGTTGGGGATGAAAATGGGATTAAGTGGGACGAATGGGGCTAAATGAAAACTAAATTGGCCCGAACATGATCGATGTTACCTCGTCTCCACTAGATACTGAGATGGTAGCCGACTTAGTCTCCTTTATCACGTTGTACGAGTGAGGACAGGGGGCCATGTTTCACAAAATCGCGCGGAGTATTTCGGCACCGGAAATATGGGCGGCCAAGACTCCCGTCGGTGGACCTGATTGGTCATAGTATAACGGTGATTTGCCAACACTTTTAGCAGTATGTATTCTGTAGCCGACTTAGTCTCCTTTTTATCACGTTGTACGATTGAAAATAGGGGACATGTTTCACAAAATCGCACGGAGTATTTCGGCACCCTGTTGGGAAGGAGATACTTCTACCTCTCCTAGTTTAGTGCTCAGATACCTGCCTTTAATTACTCTAGGATCCGCCATACTAGTTCCGAGACGGGTATGCGCAGACAGTTGGGGCTACTTTTGCTGCGGAGACGACAAGGGTCCATAACACTAACTCCAGACCAGACTTGGATCCAACGAGGAAGGAGGAAAAGACTGGGAAAAAAATCTACTTCGCAAAGGGGCTTTGATTGCTCAGAAATAGCTAGTTAGAGGACCCTCGTCTTTGCTCTTCTAAAATCAATTTCTTTCGAGTTTTCCTTCACATGCTCGTCTCTCTGGTACACACTTATTTCTTCCACTGTTTCATTTATCTCTATTTTTGTCTGTGTACCTTATGTTATCTCATATTGTCGTCTGTCTTTATACATCTCACACAATCATTTCTCTCAACAGTCAACGGCCGTCTACTGCGTGGCCATGATATACTCTTTCTGTTAAATTACCTACCTGATTAAGCCAAGATGAGGCTACCTCAGACGCTTCATGCCGGTGGCCTCGCTCTCTGGTCCTTGGCTGTTATTTACGCTCTCTTCTCTCGCATTTCAGGTGCTCTTGCCCAAGGACTTGGACAGCCTGGCGGAACTTGCTCAGACAGCATACCCTGTTATCAGGGCTGCTGTAGCAAAGATAATTCTTGTGGCTTCACGCCAGACCACTGTGGTACTGGCTGTCAGAGCAACTGTAACGCAACTGCAGAGTGCGGTCAGTATGCCGCCCCGGCAAACTTTGACTGTCCTATCAATGTCTGTTGCAGGTAAGAGGACCAGATAACACTTAACTGCTGCAAGTACAGGGTAATAATCAGATTAATAGTGCCTTTGGATTCTGTGGTGTTACCACCGACTTTTGTGGTAAAGGCTGCGAGCCCAACTCGAAAGGCGGTGGCTGTGGTCAGCCCGAGTAAGTCTCAGGCAATTTCAGGATTTAGATTGGGGTTTGATAGTAACAAAAGGCATTCAGTCATCCTACTTGCTCAGAGAGTACTGACGCAATGGCATATGACCGTCGTATTGGATACTACGAATTATTCAACATTCACAAGAGTTGCAACGTGATTGAGCCAGAGTCTCTCGTTATTGAACCTTTCTCTCATATAAACCTGGCGTTCGTGAACTTTGGCGCCGATTACAAGCTCCTGGATGAATACGGTGACGTTGTTGACCGGATGTCGTTCCTTAAATTCACCAACACGGGCCTTCGCATCAACATCGCTGTTGGAGGATGGACTTTCAGTGACCCACCGACGGAGTTGCTTTGGAGCCAAAGTAAGTCATAATAATTCTAACGCCGTACAACCCCGCGAGTAGTTTTTATTTAACTGATTTTCAAACCAGTGGCACGCTCTTACGAGAATCGCCAGACGTTTATCAACTCTGTTGTGAGCTATCTACAGAATTACCATTTGGATGGAGTCGATCTTGACTGGGAGTATCCATCAGCGGCTGACCGTGGTGGCTCAGAAGATGATGCCGCCAACTATGTCACACTGCTAGCGGAGATGCGTGAGGCATTTGACCGGGAGAATCCAGGATGGGAAATTTCAGTGACGGTACCGACAAGCTACTGGTACCTACGTGGCTTTGATGTCGAGAGAATGCAGAAACATGTTGATTATATTAATCTCATGAGCTACGACCTTCACGGCATGTGGGACCAGGACAGTGAATGGACAGGTCCATATCTTGAGGGCCACACCGACATCAGTCAGATTGAGCTCGGTTTGGATCTCCTCTGGCGAAACAACATCGATCCCGCTAATGTTGTTTTTGGATTTGCCTTCTATGGTCGGTCATTTACCATGAAGGATGAAGACTGTACTGAGCCAAACGGAAAATGCCAGTTCAGTACTGGAGGCGCCCCTGGTACATGTACAGATACAGCGGGGATTTTGTCATATGCTGAAATCAGCTCTCGAAACAACTCTCTGGATGTGCACACTCATTACGACGCAGAGACCACGGTCAAATACAATGTTTACCAAGGTTCTCAGTGGGTTTCATATGACGATGAGCAGTCTTTCACCGACAAAAAAAGTTCATTTCCAAGCACTGCTTAAGTGGCTGGATGGTATGGGCAATCGACCAGGATGATGGTGAATTTAATGCCCTATCTGGTCTTATTGGCGCAGATCTTTCGTCATTGCAAATGGAAAGCAACACCGATGGCCACTCGAAAAAAGTCATTGCCGATGCTTTTGCTGCCTATAATGGTCAGAATTGTTTCACAACAGATCGCTGCACCGATGGGTCAAGCAAAGAGAAAAACCCAGATCAGGTATGCCCATCGGGATACATGTCGGTCAGTACAGCGCACAACCCACTGCAGGCTGGAGACAAAGAGCGCCATGGAGACTGCGATGAGGGCTGGTACAGAAGTATCTGCTGTCCAAAAGATGCCATGCCCAAAAACTGCGAATGGAACGGTGCTCCCAAGCGTAGCGAGTTTGGTTGCGATGGCAAGTGCGGCAGCAACCAGTTCAAGCTTAACCAAGATACCGCATTGAATGCTAAGGGCGAAGGTCAGTGCTTTACCGGGGCACGTTACCTCTGCTGTGACTCTACTATCATGCTTCAGAAGTGTGACTGGACCGACTGTCAGGGGCCTTTGGTCATCGATGATCCGGCTCAATGTCGTAAAGGTTACGACTACTACACTTATCGGTTTGATAAGCCAAATGGCAAGCCGTGGTGCTCAGACACGTACGTCTCAGAAGTGGATGGTTCGGTCGGAAGTCCGTACAAGCAGTCTTTCAAGAGTGGACTTTGTTGTTCCCATGATCAGAGCTTCAAAAACTGCCAATGGACTAACTTGTATACAAACGACGACCCCCTGAGAGCTGACCTGTGTAAGCCACGGCCCTGCTCGGCTGGCAAAGTCAAGATTGCAGGCGCACTTGATCCGAAAACACCTGCTACCGGCAACGCTGGTAGCATCGGTAATAGCTATACCTGTGACTCCTACACTCCGGAGGATGGAATGGACCCAGAGTGGTCGTACTGCTGCGATCCACCCACCAAGTACAACAGCGACTGGCCTGTTGACCCTAAATATTTATGGGAAAAGTACTACAACGAAGTTGACGAGTCCGACGTGGTCTGGAAATACAGCGACGAATATGCCAATAACAATCAGGATGATGAGCGCTCTACGGAGGAAGATGGCTCTGATGCATATGGCTTTGTCATGCTCGATGGACCTGAAGGCTCTATCGACAACGACTTTTCTTCCAGTCATACCGTTGTCCGCCGCTCGCCTGATACCTCTGTGACAAAACGCTCTATTCTGACCAGCAACCAGACTATTATGGACAGCATCTTCGATCATGCCGAGGAAACCTTCCATGTCTACTGCAATTTCCCCATTGGCTCGAAAGAATGTGAGCGCGTGTTCATCAATGGTGTCGATGATACGATTGTCTCCCTTCCATCTCATATAGGTGAAGGCCCTTTTGCCCGCATCGTGTCGATGAAATTGGCCGATCAGTATTTCCAACTGCCCGAGCACCACTTACAGCACCGATCATTGAAGAGCATCTCGAACCCAGTTTACGAAGTCAAAGTTGACTACAACTTCCAAGATATCAAGCTCAAGCGGGATGATGATGCTGTCCAAATTCGTATTGACTACACCAATTTGATGGGTTACTGGGACGAGATGACCAACTCACCAGCCAGTCGCATGAAGCGTGGGATGGGTGAACATGACCTTACCCAAAATGAGTGGCGTGCCCGCGTTCAGCGAGCCGTCATGCGCGACAAAAAGCTTAGGAAACGCGAGGAGCCCATCAAAATCAAAACCCCGATGGAAGTCTCCAAGGTGCAGCCCCAGAAGCGTTGGTTCGGCGCATTTGGAGAGTGGTTAAAGAAGCTAGTAGGTTCTTCCTCACCCCCCCCCCCCTTTCTTGTTTTTGAATATACTGATCTCAATTTAAAGACCACTGTGACAAAGTCCAGCGTGGGTGTAATTGAGTTGGGTCTTAGTAGAACTATCAACCTCTTCTACGCCAAATGGGGGTGCCCAGGCGAGACCTACTTTGGTGAATTGTCGATCGATTTAGAGGCCGACCTTTCCATGGATGCAACTTACGCCTACTATCTCTCGGCCACATTTATTCCCCCCGGCAAGCCGGAGACTTTCGCTTACTTTGGAATGGAGCCTGAAGCCTACCTTGGTCTACACGTTGAAGGCAGGGTTATAGCGCAGACACAGACTGACCGAAAGAAGATCATTGATACCCTTACTTACCCTGGACTAGCTGTCAAGGGAATTGCGGCTGTCGGGCCCACCTTGGATGTTTACGGCCAGGTGATTTCCCTGGGGAATCGATTTATTGCAGTTCCAATGCTAAGATCAAATCCAGATTCGCGGCAAGATCACGCTCTTCGGCTCACTTGATGCAGGAGCAAAGATGTCTTTCGGAAAGGCTGAAGTCTTTTGGCCTCAGGACAACAACTTGCAAGACAAATATTCAAACCTGCTCGGCCTTGAGAGTAAGACTGAATCTCCGGCTCCAGGTACAGTTGAACCAGTGTTCCACGCTGGAGTCGCCGTCGATGCGCAGATTGATGTTCTTATCACCCCGCAAGCCAGTATTGGCATCAAGATTGGTGGCGGCAAGATTGTTGCCGATAAGACCTTGATGGATGCTCAGCTAAGTGGCTATGTGAACACTGACCTCTCCTTCCAGGCTCATGGTGACTACGACACGTCTGACAATGCCTTCCACTACCGATTTGGGGCCTATCTGTACTACAACATTGGATACAAGGCTGTGGCCAAGATTCTCAGCTTCATTGACTGGGCAACAGGGGATCGCAAGGCATATTCACCTGACAAAATGCTCAAATTGTACGAAAAGACCGGTACCATTCCGATGTCAGAATCCGACATGGGGAAGCGAGGCCTTTCTATAGAAGCCGATGCTCAAGAGCATGAAATTACAGCAGACCTGTCCGAAAACAGCACAATGTCCGTCTTGGAAACAGCTGCCGACATATTTCGCCGAGCTGATGTTACAACTTTGGGTACGAAATCCGTGACAAGTTTATTGATCAGCATCAGAAACTAACTAGTCACCTAGACCCTAAAACCCCCGAGTTCACAAAACAGGGCCATTGTCCAGCCGGAGCTAGTGGCTTCCAGCTGCCAGAATTGCGATGTAAGTTTGGAAGTTTTCGTCGAATGTGACATTTTCTTTTGTGGACTGACTGAGCATGTGTTGACAGTCAATTGCGGCTTTTTTGGTCCGTACCAGGCCATAAATGAGATCCTTGATGCCGACGGAGATCTTCAGGAAAGGCTGACGCATGATGTGCCCGGCCTCTGTGACAATATCGTCAATCTTACGCCATTGCGCTCAAAGTTCACATTCTCCCAGGACGGGGTAACAGCCAGACGCAACTCAGTTTGCCCGAGAAAGACAGTCGGTGGCCAGAGTGTAACAAAATGTTCGGCACCAACTGCCGAGCTTAACAAGGCAGTTAGACGAAGGGGTTTGGGCCTCCAGTGTGATGAATTTCCCTGGGGGTCTAGTGAGCAGGGAGGAGAATGGCTACCTGCGAGTCAGCGTCGTACGGAGTGTGTCACCAGCTTCCAGAATGCATGGCACGGAAATTGCGTCCGTAAGTGCTTAATTCTTTTTCATCTATAATTGGGTTGTTCTGGATTCTGTGGGAAACTTGCTAATAAATTTTTAGAATTGGTTGGACAACTTTCATCGAACTGGAAACAACTGGACCCTGAGTCCCGGAAAGATTCCAAGAAGATAGATTATTGGGCATCATGGCAGAAACGAACCGGTAAGCTTATATTCTATTTCTTCGCAATTGGGCTATCTAACACTATGTCTTTTTGCGTTAGACTGGACCCACGCGGGCAAGTATGGGATCGGGCAAAACAAACCATATGAACAAAAACTCATTGAATACGGCGAAGAAATGCCTCCTCCAGATGGTGGGAACCAGGTATGTATTCAATGTCAGGATTTAGGAATTTACCTAACAAAGCGGTGACAGGGAGATAACAAGAAGCTATCGTGGGCTTTTAAACGGGACTATGAGACTTCCTGGCTTAACCCTCAAACACCACTCACGTCCGCAGACTGGTGGAATGCCAACCAACCGACATGGTACAAACCCAAATACAATGGGCCTCTTACCATGGACTCGGTTCTTTGCGCGGTCAATCATTTTAATCAGGGCAACGTGTATAAACTACCAGGTGTGAAAGTCAAGTCAGATGGAACACCAATCGGCGTGCAAAAAGAGTACAACGCATATTGCAAAAGAACCAACCAGGGTGGTATGGCCCCCCTGCTTGGGGCGTCGATTTTACCATGGGAAGATGTCTCATTCGTTTCCAAAACAGCGCAAGCAGCAGCTCGGGCACATCTAAACGGGACGCTCAGAAGTGGGGTGAATGGGAAGTTGAAAGTATGTGGACGCCGAACGATGTCTACTCAAGTGCTTGCTGATTCTCCTTTTAGGCATTGAATATGTGGAGGATGTGGACGATGCCGAGATGGCTCAGTTATTGAAGCCTGCGGATCTGGATGGTTCTGAACATGAAAGGTAACTTGCCATGAATGTCGATGAATTTTTTATTTATAATCTGTTCGTAAATTTTTTATTTTTTTATTTCTTTGGCGGAGCAGACAGCAATTTGCAAGACGCCGGAAAACGGACTCTTCTGTTGGAGCGAATTCCGAAGTGTCTGGCAACTTCTCACCTTTTAGTTCACCCCATCTAGTATGTATGCAACACCACGTTCTTCATTTCATCTATTGATTAGGGTCTGCAAGTTCTTCTTCCGTCAATTGATACAGTTCCCTCCCTAATTCTGCACTGGCTCGATACTTTTCCCCAACAGTAGAGCCCTCAAGGAATTCGTTGGTTTCCATCCATGTACCAATCACACCAAAGATATCGTGAATCTCAGGATCCATACGACCTTCGCGAATGACGTTTCGGAAACCATCTAAATAAAGCACATACAAACTTCCAGACCGGAAAGCCTCCTCGTCCGCAAGGATAAGATACGTCCTCGTGGCGCATTTTTGTAACCCTATCGCGAGGCTATCGATGATTGTGTCTCGGTCATCGCGCCAAGCCTCCGGGGCTTCTTCTTTTGCTTCGGCAATTTGCGTTTTGAGATCAGAGCGGAGAGTTTCAAGGTCTTCTGCTTTACGGGCGCGCGGAATCCTCATTCTATCATCGACCTCAGGTTCAAGTGGGCCCGCAAGTTCGGGAAGAATCTCGTACACACGCCGCCACTCCGATCCGAAGTTGAAGAGATCCGCATTATTGAGAACCGCCCACCAGGCTTCTGATTCAAAGGGATCTGAATCGACCCATTCAGTCATTAAATCATCGTGTCTAGCTTTCTCTTCTTCGTCGGTGCAATAGTGCGTGCGTAGTAAAGCGGGACAAGTCTGGTCATTGAAAAGATTCATTGCGTGCCATCGAAGCACGTCGCTGCGGTAAGGTCGGAGAATTGTGTCCACCTCCTCTGTTGTAGGCGCACGTGGCGGATCGATACCCGCTGGAAGGCTATCCCAATCTTCGGCCCATTCAAGGGGAATAAATTCCATGTCGAGGAACTCAGTGACCAACATTTTTCGTTGCTGGTCGGGGGTTTTGGTGGAGGAGTTATTCCAGTTTGTCTGCACAGGATTAGCATCTGAAGTAGAAACAAAAAGGCACAACATACGATAAGATATTGTTCGACAGCCAGTGTTCCCCATGGAGGAGGAGGCAAAGAATCCATGTCATTCATCACGAGGAAAGGTTGGGAAGCTTGAAGAGAAGATAAAAGGGGAAGATGCGGAAGAGACGCCGGGGAGGGGTGTGGAGAGCGGGGCTGATATGGTGAGGAACGCACAAATCATTCCTTTTGTGACGTGCCAGGTCTATTCAATAAAGAAAGAGTGCATTATGCAACAAAGAGTGCATTCAATACAAACAAGCAAACATGCCAATCGTAACACCTTTAACCCATAATCCTTTGATACATACAAGTGAATATTAACTACCATGCTCTTACTAACTATAACTTAGTTAATACCTTGCCTGAAAGATGGAAAACATAGGTTTAAAGAGGTAGTGAATATCGCTTTTTTTTCTTGTACTCAGCTCGAAGCAATCACCACTAGACATCGGCAAAGCCCAGCATAGGCCTAAGATTTCGGCCCACGGCCCAACCCACATGGGCTATGGGCCCAGGGGAGCTGGGCCCAGCCCAGCCCATAGCCCACTGGTAGCCCATTTAGGCCCATTTTTATATAAATAATAGGTCTTGGCGTGTATAAAAATGCTTACTCAGTAGAATAGTATACTGTTACTTACATGTGTTTTGGTTTCTTAATTGAATGACAGCCTTTTGTGTCCCAGCGGCCTTGAAATTTTAGTTTTTATTTATAAAATAATTTTTAATATGGCTGGTCACTCATTATTTCTAGAAAGAAAAAAAAAATTAGGCCGATTTAGTGATACTTTATAGATAGGCTGGTCTCTATACAGAAATATATATTTAATTGTACTAGTATATATACATTTAAATAATATTTAGTACCCTAACCACTATAAATAATTAAGATTAATTATAATTTATTAGGGATCTCTACATTTTATTAATAAAGAGGCTAGAATTAAAGGAAAATTAGTATTTAATTATATATATCTAGGACTAGGACTCTACATTATAGTGTGGCTAGTAATATAGGGATACTAGGCGCATTATAGTGAATTATAATACTGTGAGACCCCTAGGTATAGAATGCCTAAGGGAATGCTGTATATAATAGAGGATTGGGAAATAGAGATAGTAATATACGCAGGGTATATTAGAACTAATAGCTGCTTCTCCAAAGAAGCAGTATACGAGGATAATATACAGGTTTATAGGTTATATAACCTAAGGAGGCTGTGTAGGTAGTATATATTACTCCTACCCAGTCCACAGTCCCCTATATACCTAGGATAGGTACTCTACGCCCTATAATAGGGCTTATACCTTAGGTATCAGCCTTCTTAGTACTAAGGTCCTAATAATATCTCCCTCCTTATAGTATATAGTCCCCGTAGGCTTAGATAGGAGAAGAATAAAGGAGTAGCTTAGTCTATTAAAACCTATATATCTAAAAAAACCTTATAGTAAGGGTAAAAAGGTATATAGGGAAAGGTATCTAGCCTTAATACTCTAAAAATATAAAAAATGATATAATAGAAGTATAAATAGAGGGGTAGTATATATAATAAGGTCTATATATAGTATAGTTATATAACTATACTAAGAAATTAGGTAGCTATAGTTTCTAATAAATATAGTATATTAGTTAGCCTATAAACTTAGGTATCTTATATATATAAGGTATAGCTAAGTAGTTATTTACTAATAAGAGAATATAGTTAGGATAAAGGGAGATACTTAGACTTCTCCAAAGCCCGACCCGAGCCCGAAATTTGGGCCCGTGGCCCGACCCGCATGGGCTTCGGGCCCAACCTCCCTAGACCCGGCCCGGCCCGAAGCCCGCGCGGGTCGGGCCTAAAAGCCCGTGAATAGCCCGTTTAGCCCGAATTTACATAAAATAGAGGTCTTGGCGTGTATAAGTCAGATTATATAAGATTAATAAATTACGGTTTTTTATTGCTGTTTTAGTCTGGTCATATTCTAATAAAAAACACACCGATTTGTCTATAAACGTCAAAAATGAAGCCATTCCCAGATTACATAACCAATTCATCTGGTCTTCTACCTTACCAATTCATCTAGTCTTCCCGCAACATACCGATTTGTCCACAAACGTCAAAAATGAAGCTATTCCCAGATCACCTGACTAATTCATCTGGTCTTCTACCTTACTAATTCATCTGGTCTTCCTGTAACATGCCGATTTGTCTACAAACGTCAAAAATGAAGCCATTCCCAGATTACCTAACCAATTCATATCCCATGGGGGAGGGCCGTTCAGGGCTCAACCAAGTTTACATACAGTGACATACGGGTATTTGGTAGATATGGTTAGTTCCCGCGCGCATCCACTTTGCCTAGTACCATTTTGAATCTTTCTCTCAGTACCGAGTATCTACATACGCAATTCCTACTTAATTTTATTTCTGATTTCGTATACTTTAATGTAACTCCATTGTAAATATCCCTGCCAATTTCTAGAACTAGAGCCTAGTAGGAGTATATATAATTAGGAAATAAAGAGTAATAGCTAAAATATAATAATATGGTATAGGGCAGCTGTAAAATAGTTGGCTAAGAATTATCTACCCTAGGTATAGACTATAGCCTAGTCTTAATTATTTTAAAACTTTTATAGGTAGTAAAGTATAGAGTTAAATATCTAATATTAAGATTATAAGTTTATACCCTTACTATAAAATATATTATAGGTACTTAAATATCTTAAAAATTTTGATATAGTTACTAAGGTAGAGCCTTCCTATACTAAGCTTCTATTAAGTCGTATATAACTAAATACTTATATATAAATTTCTACCCCTATCTAATTAACTAAACTAGGCTAAATTATACTAAGATTTTAATAGTTTATATTTAACTCTCTAAGAAGTCTACTTATAAAAGTATAAGTTCTAAGCCTAGCCTTAGTACTAGGTATTAGCCCTTTATTATATAGGCTGATTTAAGATATTTTAATAGGGTTAACTATATATTATCTAATAGGCTGACTTACCTACTCTTCTTAAGTCTAAGATTCTACTATAGACCGCCTTCTCCTAAAACTTATATTATATTATAGAACTAGTATATAATGATTAATTATACTAGGGAATTAGGTATAGGTTATTAAACTAATATTACTATTAGTATATATTATAGGATATAGATACTCTATATCTTTTATAGGGGGAATTGTATATACTTTATTTAGCTGACCTTAGTATTAGTATATATTATAGGATATTGATACTTAAGGTTACTAATAGGGGGAATTATGTGTATTAGAGGATATTGATACTTAAGGTCACTAATATAGAGAATTGCGTATACTTTATTTAGCTGACCTTAGTATTAGTATATATTGTAGGATATTAATACTAGAGGTCACTGATACAGAGAATTGCGTATATTATAGGATACTAATACTCGAGGTCGCCGATAGGGGGAATTACGTGTATTAGAGGATATCGATACTTAAGGTTACTAATACAGAGAATTATATATATTACAGGATACTGATACTTAAGGTCGCTGATACAGAGAATTGTGTGCACTTTATTCAGCTGACCTTGGTATTAGTATATATTATAGGATATTAATACTAGAGGTCGCCGACACAGAGAATTACGTGCATTGCAGGATACTGATACTCGAGGTCGCTGACATAGAGAATTACGTGCACTTTATTCAGCTAACCTTAGTATTAGTATATATTGTAGGATATTAATACTAGAGGTCGCCGATAAGGGGAATTGCGTATATTAGAGGATATCGATGCTCGAGGTCACTGATACAGAGAATTGCGTATATTATAGGATACTGATACTCGAGGTCACTAATATAGAGAATTACATATATTACAGGATACTGATACTTAAGGTCACCGA